GTTTTTTCTTGAAAATATCTGGGTATGAAAAGTGGCCTTAACGCCACCCGTCCTTTAATATGTTTTGTTTTTCGAGGTGCAATCTCTTCATTAATTTTGTAGTGACCATAACCATCGGATGTTATTTCGTAAAAATATTCTCCATTGGCTGGTAAAATTTTTAGTAAAGAATGAGTAGAGAATATACATTCGATTGAACCAGCTGAATCCGAACATGCACCATATGATCGTCCAGAAATATTGGTAAAACTAACTGTAACAGTAGCCCGTTCATAAGGACCTAGAAAAGTTGGAATGTCAATTTTTGTTATTTGAATTGGATATTGACAGGTAAACGAAGCTGAAACTTGACTGCCGCTAAATAAACGATTTAATAGACGTATTTCTGATGTTATTTTAACGGGTTGTTTGTATGGTCGATTGATTGAAAGACTACGTGGAGCATCTAGATGGCATTTAAATTGATGAGAATCAACCAAAACTTGATTGATACGAATACCTGGCAATACACTAACATCTTCTGCATCATTCGTAATATATTTTGTAGATGGAAATGATAATATACATCCGCCAGGCATGGTCAGTGCGCCGTTATTTGTCCATTTAACGTTAGTAATAAAAAAATTTGAGTCAGGCTCGTAAATTCCATCGTTATTTTCATCTGTAATAGTATAACCACCGACACTAGCATGATATTTATCAGGCCCTGTTTCTAGAATATTACCACTTATATCAATTACAGCATATTGAATTGAACCGTGGCTTGCAGGACGACCATCGCGACCATGGGAACCATCGCTACCTGCGTAACCACTCATACCGCATGATCCGCTTGAACCACTCATACCATCAGAACCACTTACGCCGCCTGGCCCACCATGACCACCACGTCCACCCCTACCGCCAGATCCTCCGGCACCACCAATGCCTCTTGAACCGCCGCTCCCACCGCCACCACCTCTACCTCTTTCTCCCGCTCGACAATCCGGTTCAATCAACATAAATAATCGAAGATCTGCACTTCGAACTTGGACATGACCACCAGCACCTGCATCTCCACCATCTCCTCCTCGTCCTCCATTCCCACCATTGCCTCCACACCCTCCGTTCCCTCCATCTCCACCACGATCGCCACATCCTCCAGAAGCACCTTCATCGTGAGAGTTATATCCATCTGTACCATCACAACCGCGACCACCATCTCCTCCACGACCTCCGCATCCTCCGTCTCCTCCTCGTCCTCCATCTCCACCGTTGCCTCCTACAGCTTTTACCAGAATGATTCCATTTGATTTATCCAATTGAAAATTATAATAGACATTGCTAAGGGATTGGGCGAAATTCCAATTAATACCAGGAGAATAATTGTATGGATTATTTAATGTTTGAAATGTTTGTACTTGCATATTGAGGTAGTCAACTGTTCCGTTTAACCAGATCAATGCGTGTTGAGCATTTGTACCAGGATGACCTGATTGACCATCAAGTCCATCACTACCATCATCACCTCTAGTACCACAATCATCTATTCCACCATTACATCCAGAAGATCCGGATAAACCATCAGCACCAGAATAGCCATTTACACCTGAATTGCCACTAATAGGAATAACTTGATCCACAGGCTTTGTTAAAGCTCGTTGACTCACACTTTCAATATCGAAAGAAAAATTGGGTAATTGAGCTTCTGTCGTTGTACTCGTCATCTTATTTTAATTGAAAAGAATTCAACACTATTCTTTTTAAATATTATCAAACAGAGAATGAATCGTGGGTCTCCTTTATAAATATATGTTGTTTCAAACAAAAACAGACTCCTTCTCTTATCTTATCTTTTTGCGTATATATATATACTTAGGCCAGTCAAAAAGTAGTTGCGGAGGTATGATAATCCTTCAAAGGAGGGTTCGATAATTTTTTTTCTATACAGTCTGATAGAGAAAAGAAAGCTCTATTTTTCTATGCTATGTGATCTTATTCAGACTAATCCTATGATAATAAAATTTCTGTAAGACTTGTTTTGGTCGGACGTGTGCTGGTTGTACTATATCATATTCTGTGTTCCATACGCGTAATATTCTTGCCATTCTCTTTTTTTCTTTTTTTTTCGTCTTCCTCAGTCCCGAACTGTACGTACATGCATGTGAAAAGACACGTGTTTTGTTTGTTTTGCATATAAACATAGTATATAATTGTGTTCTAAGGAGGATAAAGCAACACACTTCGATTAAATCACAGTAGTATTCACTCTTATGAATATGAATAAGGAAAACTTTCGTTTCTACATTAAAGTACGCACTGCACTTAATATTCCAGCAAGAATTATTTGCGATGAATTATGTTCTGTTTTTGGCGATCAAGCTCCTGCACTTAGGACGGTGGAATGGTGGTCTAAATTATTTCGAGAAGGAAGAGAAGATGTTGAAGATGAAGAAAGACCTGGCAGATCTATAACCGAGACAACATCTGAAAATATCAAGCAAGTTCGTAGCCTTATCGATGATAATCCTCATATTACAATACAAGAAATGGAGGTTCAAACTGGTCTCAGCCATGGTACTATCCATCGAATAATATCCGATCATCTGAATTTGAAGAAACTCACTGCTCGTTGCATACCTAAACAGCTGACTGATTCACAAAAGGCTGAACGAGTTCAAATATGCAAAGAAAATTTAGAAAAATTCGAATCAGGTGCATGGAGAGGGTGTGAGTGGGTGTGGGTGGGTGTGGGTGTGGGTGTGGGTGTGGGATGAGGTG